GGTTGGCTATCTCCAGTCTAAGGTTTTTGGCAAAAAAAAAAGTATTTTTTTCGTGTATATGTGGTATTCCATTGATATCCATTCAGATATCTAAACGTTTAACAATAAAATTCTTCAGACTTTTTTTTTTCTTTTTTTTTTTTTTTGGTCAGTTTTATGTATAAAGGAGACAGAGCTCTCTGCAGAAAGGAAAGTTAAAAAGCCTAATCGTGGACTGTGGTGGATGAATCGGAGTGAATGCGGGGTGCATTGGCTCATCTGTTCCTGTGCCCACGTGGCAGCACCTCTTTGGCACGGGGAGCGCAAAACCATTGGGAGAATTGGTTCCCACTAAGTACATGGGGACAGATAACCCGGGTCTGAGTCCTAGCGAAAGACCACTGGTGGACAGAAATAGATTGTCACAGACAGCTAAAATCACATTCGAATGACCTTTGGAGGAGTTGTTGGAGAGCCTGTGCAACAACCCTTCCAGCAAATTCCTGAGTGAGGAAGTGGGTTCTGAAACACGCTTGGGGATTAACTACACACACTGAGCTTCCTGGGGGCCATTACCTCTCAGCATTTAAGAGACAGCTAGATTTTAAACATTTTTCGGACTGCTTTTATTCTATCTAATTTGCATTATCAGAGCAATTCGTTATCCTTAACAGTCACTAAGAACATCAGCGTCTGTTCGCTTTTTGAATTCGGTAAACCGAGGCACCAAGAAAATAAGGGCTTGGCCTTGAGACAAAGAAAATGTGCTGTGGCACCACGGCTGGAATTCGGGTGTCCCAAACTGCAGCTCTTTCTTTGGCCCCTGGTGGGCTACCTCCTATTTCTGGTTTCTTCACAGGTTCTTGTTTACATACATGTAGCGTCTGCACGGGCGATGGCCGAGTCGTCTTCAGACACCTGGCGTAGGACCCGAGACAAGTCGCTTGGACACTCTGGGCCTGTGTTCTTCTGAGCGGACGAGCGGCTGCTGGGCTCGCCGCCGTTTCTGCCCTGACATCGCACGTGCGTTGGGTGGGGGCGGTGGGCATCGGGCATCCGGGAGACTGACCAACCCAACAAGAACCAACCTGCTCCTGACACACGGTGTCACAACACAATGCAGAGGAACGACGCGTGACTGCCTGCCCATTATTCTGGGCATCGTGCCGTCCAAACAAAGCTGCCGGCTCATCGCGTCGGTGAGGACGCTGCCTGCGAGGTTCGGGCCCAGGTCCCAGGCTAGGGGTGTCCAAGCCGCGGTCTGCGCCTCGTTCAAGTCAGTCGGGGCAGAAACGCCTGTGTCAGCACGAATATACCAAACTCAAGTGTTTCAAGGCTTAAGGAAAATATTTCTTTCCGCAAGAGACTTATTTTATATCCATGGCAAAGACTCGCTCCGCCGTGCACGGGCCTTTCAGGTCACTGCGGAGGGCCTCAGCCGAAGAAGAGAGTGTGACAGTTCCACACAGTGACGGGCGCGTGGCGGAATAGGTCAGCAGGATGTGGAAACTCGTTTTGAGGTTTTTGGTATTCTCACCCAGGGTTCCACGGCTTAATAGCTGGTGGCTTCTTTGCTGGCTACATACTGAATTTATAAATGACGTTAAATGAGTACGTTCTGGGACGTCTGATGTTTTGGAATTTATTGTGACTTCGTTGACTATAGTGGCGTGTTATACTCATGGCCTTCTCTCTGACTTTCATTTAGTTGGGTCTTATGAAAAAAACTTAACGAAGCTTCTTAAATTTTGTGTTTTTCAAAAATGGTCGTGGCGGGAAGCATTTACATGTAATGTTTCATTTCAACTGTTACTGAAAAAAGAAAAGAAAAAGAGAGAGCCGTATTTTTTACTTTTCATCCAAGGGCTACCCAATACGTTTTAAAATGAGTGTTCCAGAGCCAGACTTCCAGATCCCTTGACTTGAGAGAGCAGGAAGGGTAGGCAGCCCCTCTTAGCTGTAACAGGAGACATTCTTTCAAAAGCCTGGAATGCTGAGCCCTCTCAGACTGAAACGTGTCAGGACATGCCTTTTTGGGATGCTGTCAAGTGGTTCAGGCTCAGAATTCTGCATTCCATACTTTTGAAATTGTTTTCTGTTGGCGGACGACCTCTTGATTATTTTCATGTGGTAGGTGTTCAGGCCAACCTCTCCTTTTCCAAGTAATTAAAAACAAACAAACAAACAAACAAAAAAACAAGACCCACGCTATGCAAAGTGTCCGTATTTCAGCGTAAAGTTACAGGCTGCGTGAGTGCTGGGTCGGGTCAGCGAGCCTTGTCACACTTCAGAACAAGTCAGTTCCAAGGCAGACACATATTACCCAGAATGCTTCATTCTCCAGTGTTCACTCCCTCTTCTGAAAGTGTCACCGTGGTAAGGATTGAAAAATTACAGTTCTTGTAAAAAAGTTTTCACTTTTAAGGAGCTGTCATTTCCCTAGTAAAATCGAACGGTAATTTCCATTCACTTCAGTTCCTTTTGGGACAAAGGCTGGGAACGGATGAACAGACACATAAATGAATGGACAAGTGGGTGGAGTTGCCTTCTGACTGAGAAAGGCACAGCTTCCCCCTTGCGCGAGAGGTATGAGCTACACGCAGGCCAGCTGTCCCACCCCACAGCCCCTGTTTTTAGGAAGTTCCGATTCGTGGATCACAGCATCGCACTGAGTGAGTGTACTGCACAGTGTGGGCCTGGGTAGAGTGACAGCGAATGCTCTGCTCCCCCGCCCCGCCCCGCCCCACCGGCAAGAGTCCATTTTACAGGCGCGTCTGTGAGTCTAGAACAAAGGTGGCCAACTTAAGACTCCGCCACATTTGCCTTATCATAGAGTACACGTTAGCAGATGGTTTTTCTTAAACACCGGCAGGCTCCGAAACACAGAGGCATGGTCTCGGGTGATGGTTAAAAAAGAAAGGTCTCATCTCATTTCACTCGTGGGAATTATTTTTTAATTGTCTGTTTTATTGGGCAATTTCCCAGAGACTTTTATACAATGAGAAACTCGTCTGGAAGAAGACAAACAGGACAGGCATAAAAGAGTCAGGGTTCTTTTAAAACATTTCATTTTGCAGACCAAGAATACAACTTGTAAATCTTTTTTATGCTTCTATTATGGTACATGAATTATGATATTTTAGGAGAAGCCAATAAAGCCAGCAGAGGGAAGAAAGCCACTTTCTTTAAGCTTTCCATAGGTCGTATAATCCAATTCTGTGGTGGCGTTTCAACACCTCCAATTGAGACTGTTGTTTACGAAGTAAGGACAGTAATCCTCGTGGAAAAGGCGGTTTTGCCGCCCTAGACAGCAGATGGTGTTGTTAAACGCACAGGCAAAGTCTAAGGTCATAAGGAACTAACAATTAACCAGAAATACGATCCGTCACAGCCGTTTAATGGGTAACCTTCCAGATATATGCCACTTGTGTAATCGTGAGCGTTGGGAGGTATACTGTCAAGCTCAGAGCAGTTACACAGTCAGCTTAGAAATATTGTAATTCTTGATGAAGCATTTGGTGAAACCAACGAACCAGGAAGAACGTGAAAATCAGTGAGATTTCCTCAAAGTATTGCTTTCTGTCGCCTATTTTGAAAAATACTTTACCGATTCAGATCGCACAATTTCGTAGCCACCCCATAATATAATTGGTCTCCCCAAACTAATACTGTCAAAATTTGGGATTTTAGACTGCTAGTGTGAGTTGTTCTAAGACCCCTCTACGTTATTAGAGGCATCTGTTTTGCCCCTGCAGATTTCGGGGACCAGGGGCTGCGAGTAGGGGAGCGGCCACGGGAAGAGCATAGCCAGTAAGTAACGGGGCACCGTTGAAATCTAGAAGTGGGTTCGGTTTCGATTGTAAATCGGATACGAGCAGATCAATGAGGTAAGAGCTTAGGAGGCTTTTCCAAGGAGAGTTTGCCATGGAGAATGCGTGACCTGTTTCCTTGTCAGTTAGGACTTTACAGGACAAGGAACTGAATTCTAAATCCACCCAAAGGAAAAAGCCATCGGGGCGGCCACCAAGTCTGAATCACAAAGGACGGACTCCTGGGTTAGACTCTGGAAGTGTGAACCTTAGCTCATAGGCAAGAGCTCCCAGGAGAGTTGTGAGTCCAGCTGCTGAATCAGCCAATCCGAGAGCAGCGTCTGGAGAAGCTGAGACGTCCCAGTGCCCGGGGTTAATAGAAGTTGAGCCGAGAAACACAAGGTTCGGAGGTCACTGGCTAAACAAAGTAAATGAGTGGGTGAATTCCAGGCCGGACGAGGACAGTCGTTAAATTTCCCTGCTCTTGGCTGTGGCGAGGAGGTCTGAATCACAGAAAATGCATTCTAGTAAGAACCTTTTTCTTATGCAGTTTCACATACTTAAGGGTGTTTATGTATATTTCTCTCAAATTAAATCCACTAAGTCTGAAGGCGGGGACTCCCAGTTTGAGACCTTCGTCTACAAGCTCAGGTAGCTGCATAGCCCATGTGGCCAAGACTCCTGCCGGACCCTGCGGCAGTCCTCAGAAAAGCCAGTGAGATACCCTTGGGCTGAATGAATGAGAACTTTCTGGAGAGCGGGAGACTGGTGGAGGTCCAGCTGGAAAAACACACGGCAGCAGAGACGGAAAGAGGGCTCTGTGACCAGGAGCTTTATAAAAACGTCTGCAGCCATTGCGGCCTGAGGCCTGACTGAGCATGACGGCCGCTCTGCCTTCCAGGACTGCGTCCAGTTCACCTGGGCCGCGGCCAGCGCAGCATCCTCAGGCGCCCCTTGGGACGGTGCCCGCACGAGAACCGCCTTGCGCCACAACCCACCTCCAAGGCCAGGAGTCCGTGCCTGCCCCCTCCAAGGGAGCCATGGGACAGCAGCTCGTTGTGTCGGCCTAAAAAACCCAAAGTATGCAAGTCTCTGTAGACAGCGTTTTATAGTCGATGGGTCAAGAGGGAAAATGGCTGTGGTACATTCCCTGTGTAACCACACGTGAACTGAGAGCATTTTGGGGCTATGCAGTAACAGACTGAGCTCAGGGAGCAAAGCCAGGCAGTCTGGGTTCCAGACCAGGACACCACGAGGAGATGACTTCCGCAGGTGAATGCACAGCCTGGAGGTTTTACATCAGCCCCTCCCCCGGTGTCCTTTCCAGAATAATGGGGAGCACTATACTTTCAGGGATCATTTCTATAGTTGTTACAGAATAATGGGGGAAATTTTCCCATGTTCGTTCTCCATGATAATCATCTCTTACTGCTAATAACCATTTGTATCTGTTGCTATTGGAATGTGTCCCTTAGAAAAGAGATCAATTTAGGAAGCAATTGTTTAGAATATTTAAAAAAACAAAAAAAAACCACTTTATAAAGTCTGTACTTTACCAGAAGATTGTAAAAAAGAAACCTGTTAAGTTCCTCTAGACAGCTTAAATGGTATGAGTTTTTTAAAAATGTAACCGGCGTGGACTTTTTCAAGATGCACACGGGTCGGGCTAGGGAGTAGGCGTGCATACCCACCTCTTTTTACCCTCAGCCGTGGCATCCGTGATTTAGCCATAGCTGGCACTACTATTTTTCTTCAAGAGATAATACCGTCAGCCTTTCAACTCCTGTGATGGACATTTCGCCACCGTTTTCCCGAAGCCGTGGCACTGGCGGGAGCAGCGGTCGCTGTAGTCACAAAAATCAGGGCCTAACTTTCTCGCGCAGTCATCGTGATGGTCACCTTCCAGTTTTCCTCTGTCCGAGTACACACGTCTCCAAGGCGCGTGTTCTCCTTACTGGACAGAGAAAGGCCGGTAGGTCAGCCATACACGCTCCACGCTGATAAAGGAGTGTCATTAACTTTTGGTAAAAAAAGAAGCAAATTGCAGCCCTTTATACTTAAGTTTTTTTCCTCTTAGGAACACAAAGCAGTAACCGAGATGACCAGTGCGTGTGTGCGTGTGTGCGTGTGTACATCTTTATTATTATATATAATTATCTGTTAATATAAGTTATATACATAAATATGTATTCGTATATATATTTAAAATAATGTCAGGTAGCATGTTACCCATTTAGAAGGAGCTTTTCATCCATCTGGACAAAGAGGGGTATGCATCCCAGACTTCCTGGGCCTAATGGGGAGGGGCTTTGAAACCCCGCATTTTCTAAATGGTCAGATAGAGAAAACAAAGTCAGGTCTTCTCAAGTAAAGCTTCCTCTTTGCTGGGGGGGGGGGGGGGGGGGAGCAGGAGTCCAGACATAGATCTGGGCTGGGGTCTGGCTAAAAGTTTGTCTTTTTAGCAGGGTCCCGACTTCCTGTGCCGACTTCCAGGGTCCCGCTCTATTCCCCACGGCCCCAGGAGCTCCGAACCCCCGCGATGTAAGTCATGCTCCCCGATGGGGGCCGATTCTGCCTCTGCCGCATGTTACTGTGTAAACACAGGTAAATCGCCTTCCTGTGCCTCATTCACTTACCTGTGTAAATTGCAGAGTAACAACAAAACCGAGTGCCAGATACCTGCGAGGTTCACTAGTAGGTCCGCAGACACTCAGTGGGTCCGTCTCGCCCAGCGGTTAAGGGTGCCGGCCCGGAGGCCGACGGCCGGGGCTCTGATTCAGCTCTGCCACTTGTACCAGCTGCGTGATCCTAGGCAAGCTGCACGTTCTGTGCCTCCACGTTCTTGCCCGTGAGATGGGTATAAAGCAGTACTCACCGCAGAGGTCGATGGGAGGATGAAGTGACGCGTAAAGAGCTTGCACGCGGCAAGGCACACGGCAGACCCTCTTACGTGACGCGCTTCCAGGCGAGGCTGGAGCAGGCGCTTGTTCTAAAACCAGCCAGGTCTTCCTCCGTCA